GGCGGCCCAATTGAATGCATTGCCGCCCATTACCAGCTCCTCGCCCACTATTTGGGGGCCATCAAACACATAACAATGCCGCAGAACCAAATCGTGCCACTTTAACGTGGCCATTGCCATGACGAGTGGTGAGTATGTGTGTTGGAGAGTGTGTGTTTGTGGAGGGCAACAAACAAAACCAAACTGAACTTAGGCGAACACGAATAAAGCGAAGGAAAACTGAGCTGAATGGCACGGAATGAATAAAGGAATGCAGGATTCAGCAAAAGCTACAGAAAGTAAAAAAGGAAGTGGGGGGAAAGAAACGAAGTTGGAAGAGGCAGCGAACTTGGGGTTGAGCCCAGAAAAAAACCAGCTGAAAATCATGAAATATTTCGTACATTAACAATTGTTAGACGGAGTTGAGTCCGCTTCTTTCTTTGCCATTTCCCTTCGACGTATTTCCCCCAGCAGCTTGCCAATAATAGTTGCATTTGACTTTGTTACCATCCAAAGTCGGAGTTTGGGGGCCGGGAAACGAAGATGGAATCGAGAAGTCAGCATCTTATGTATTCCATTATGACTGTGCTACAGTTTTTCTTTGCCTCCCCTTATTCAAGCATTTTCTTTTCCACTTTCTGGCTCAATTACTCAAAGTTTTTGTGCTCAAGCCAAATGAGTAAACAAAAAGAATTCAGTTATGCATTTTCAACTTCAGCTACAATGGTTTCAAATTAATTTATCATTTGGATGGACCTTTTGTCTTGTGTTTTTCTGGACCTTCAGATTGAATTATCTTGAAATTTTTTTAAATGTTGAAATTGAAGAAAGGTTCAAAGTAAAATTATATATTATACAAATTTGTATAAAATAAATGGCTTCAAAAACGTAAGAGATTTTATCTCTTCATTTCTTATCTTAAACTGTGCACTCAAAGTTCTTTAAAAAATTCTCTTAGTTAAAACTCTGACCTTCGTTTCGCCTTTTTGCCCTGGGAAGACATCATCAGTTCAAAACTTTGCGCAAAGTTTTTGCTCTTGGTCCCCAAACCATAAACGCTGGCAAAACGGTCACACAAATTTGTGATTATAAACTTTTCAACAGCTATTCACGCGTGCGTTAAATATGCAACAATTTCCGCATAATTTCATATACACCATACCGCTACATGTTATTACTCCCACGTCGGCCTCCCCTTTTGCCCTCCACCTGCAGCAGGTGAGGCTAATCACGTGACATTCCAACACGAACTCACGGTCACAGAGCCTTTGGCCAAACAATTATTACGGCCCAGCAGGCTCACACTCACGCGCAGTACCCCAAAAACACACTCACACAGAACAAAATTGTTTAATAAAATATAATCTATTTTTATGTTATCAAAAATTATATTATATCAATTATTCAAATATTTAAGCGGATATATGACTTAATATATTAAATTAAAAATTATGGCGTCGTGTATTTTTAATATTTTATACTAATTTAAAAAATATAAATTTATTTCAAATTAAACACATTTTTTAACAATTATATTTTTATTCGCATAAATCAATTTAAAGATACTTCCGATTTAATTTCGACTTCATTTTTTTTTGTGTATAGTAACACACACGTCTACCAGCTTCCACTTACACAAGCACATTTGCGCCTGAGAAAACATACAGGACATTTGGCGGCCCTTGCGGTTGACAGGATTGGCGAGTTGTGGAGTAGGGGTGATTAATACCAAGCAATTTCCCCTCTGCATCTGTGGGGCACTGCTTATCATGCGTGAAAAGATCACGGGACTTTCAGCGCTGCACTCTGGGCCAGCCGATCAGATTTTTGGCCAAAAATACGTTTTTCTTTTTTAAGAAAATGACCAAATTGAGTTTGGGATCCTTTTTATAATACATTAAACTAATTTATGCCAAAGTTTTAAAGAATTCGGGCAACTAGTTTTCTTTTACCATATTTTCAAAGTGAAAAATTCATAAAATATTGATGGAAATGAAAAAAAATTTAGAAGTCAAAGATGCTGATGTTGCTGTTCGACTTCTTTCCGAAACTTGCAGAAGGGATTATTTTCAACAAGTAAAAAATATAATATAGCTCGTATGTCTTACTTGTTTGCTAAAATAAATGTAATTGTTAATTTTTACGCTTTTTTTCAGCAAATGAGTACTTTGCTTTTCGAGTGCATTTGAGTGCCATCCCCAAATTAGTTCATTCCTTCAAAAAAAAATTCGTTGATCAATTTACTAAAAGCGTAGCCCACCGACTCGATGCGGTTTTGCCTTAGTTTTCGGTAATTAATGTTTTAATTGAAGGCTTAACTCGAAGTCGAGCTATTTTGAAGAGCTTAGCTAAGAGAGCCCAAGAGTATGCCATACTTTATTTCTTCAGGTTTTGGTGAACATTTTGCGCTCAAAAATTTGACTTTAGTGTGACTAACATCTAAAATCTACTTTTTACGTACACTAATCGATTATGGTATTTTCCAAACCTATATTAATCTTTTTAATCAGGACTATGCAAATAAAAATGTAGCATACTTTTGTGATGACTTCAGAATATGTCAAATTAACATTAAACAAATCAAAAAACAATATTTTTAAACAATTTTTTTTACATAATTTGATTATATAAAACTTAAAAGGTAACAAGGACAAAAAAATATAAATTTTTTTTTAAATCGATTGTTTGATAAACGTTGATGTGGAAGCCTCCGAAAGATGCACTTTTTAACGGTTCATAAATCTTAAATGACATAATATTTTTTAGTGATGTTAATTTTTTTTAGTTTGTTTTATCTCATACTTTATTGTTTTCGAAAATGGAAGAAGTGCGTCTTCTAGTTATTTTTTTAAAAATAAAAAACCGAAAAGTACGTAAAATTTTCCGACTTTGGTCTGGATTATCTATATCATATAAAATTCCAAGAAATTTTACTTTTAGTTCGTTGGAAAGTTCAATCTTTTAAGAAAAAAACGCAAAAAACTGCATCCTTCTAACTGTCCTAGGAAAGAAATTACAGATTTTTGGCCAAAAAATTAACTTTCTGGCCCAGTGTGCGCTGTACGGATTTTAACTGTTGAGCCCCAAACAAATACTTTTGGAATCGCAAAATCGTGTTAGTCAAACCGTGAATTTATATATGATGCGCAGTTTTAAGTTTCGCTAAAAATACCAATTTTTTGGATAATCAAAAACCATCCTTTATTATATACTTTTGAATTTAGTTTTTTTATTGCCGGAACCTCCCTTTGATTCATTTTATTGTCACACAAGTCAATTTTAAAATGTTTAATTACTCCATTTTCCAAAAGTACTAAGTACATAAATTAGTGACATGTGACAATAAAAAATTAAACCGAACACAATTGGCTTCAGAACAAATTTACACCCATTGAAACGTACATTTATGGCAATTAAATCATGCTTTTATGTGCACATAGAACCAATAAACAGAATTGCGCCCAGCATATATGCAAAATGCGAACGTAAATGTTTTCCAAAAAGGATTTTCAGAAATATAGCCCCCACAATGGGCATGAGTTGAGATAAGAGTATAGTACAATGATTTAAATATTTAACAAAATAACCAGTGCCCGGGAAAATCTCTGATATAATCGGCAAGCCAATGTGCAGAGATCAAACGAAAAACATGAAATGCGCTTTTCTATTAAATCGAATTATTTTCTGCGAATATGTGAATGACTGCATGTAGGACAATGAGGATTACAGGGATTGCGTACCACTATTCCGTTTAACTTCAAATTGAATGTAGCTCATTTGGAACATTTTCACATATATTTTATGATATTTAAGTATGCCGATTAAAATAAACATCAACTTGTAGATGGCTTTCACTCTTCAATTTAGATGACTGAAAAAAATTAGTTTTTGCTTTACAATTTCCATATTAATGGGTTAGCTATCTAATGTATTTATTGTAACATAACAATTAAAATGTCAAAATAGTTGACTTTCATTGCCTACTATCAATTTAACTTTTCGTGTCTCCTAATCAAGCCATTATCCATATAAATTGGACATTAACAGAACAGAAGCTGTATTTCTGTTTGCTACCTGAGCATTGTTTACATATCACTACCCACTCGAACTCCGAGAACCGCAAGTTACAGCCCGTATGGCAGCCAAATCAAATACACACACCCCCAAAGCAGCCAGATAGGTATACAAACAATTCCCATTTATATAAGAGTTGGAGGGGAAGGAATGGGACCGGCAAAATTCGAACAAAAGCCCAACATGAAATATTTATAAATATTACGTATACGTAATCGAATTGATTGATTTTGCAATTTCACGAAAGCCGAAACAAAATGCCAAGAGCAGAAGGAACGGGACAAAGAAGCAAAGGTCGTGGAGGTGCAAAAGAAGGGGCCCGGGTGGTTGAACTCTCGTATTTTTGGGGCGGCTAAGGTGCGAGCCTCTTAAGTGATTTCCAACTGTTTGAGGGTGTAGAAAGCGAACTATACAGATAGAACACATTATGGTAATGTGCACACAGTAACAAGTTACAGACACGCCTCCATCAACATTAAGACATCCCCGCCCTCCTCACACACACAACACTTGAAAAACAAAATCCTTTATACCAGAAAGCCAATGACTCCGCTCTTGACCATCGACTTGAATTACAAATGGCTTGCTTTTGGGTTTCCTGGGATCCATGGCATTGAAAAGTATCCGCAATCACACAGCGGCACGTGTTGCTGTCAAGGGCAAGAAAACGGACATCCTTGTCACGAGAAAAGGGTTTAGTGCTCAGCGCTTCCAAAAAAATGACGAGTAATTTAATTCTTTATTAGATTTTTCAAAGGGGAAACTGGTTTGTCTGCTTTAAAATTTATGAAAAGTTCCCTTGTTTTACAAGGCGTTAAACGCGATTTGGTCTGGCCGGGCGTTCTACTCCGAAATTTCCCTTATTTAATGGTATATTAACTTATTTATTAGTAAAGCAATTGTAAACTATAGGATTTCAATTAATTTTAAAAGTATATATTTCTTACCACAAACAAAGCTGCCCAAATTTGCTGAGACTTCCAGTGAATGTTCGCCGACATTTTTATCTGCATTTTCTCGTAATCATGATTTCATGCTGCAAGAAAATTAAAATACAAAATATTCAGTTAGCGAGAAAGATATACTGGTACAACCACAATGGTGTTTCCACCGTTTACAGGGAGTTTCGCAGTCAATTTGTTAACTAAATTTGTAGCCACCAATAGGAGGGGAAAAGGAAGTTGTGAAAACCCGTTTTCATAATTAAGCAAAAATATTGTAAAATATTGGGCGAAGCAGCAACGCCAAACAATTAATGAAGCAAACTGCCAGCTGATGGCAGACAAGGATGCCGGGGAAGAGCACCAAAGATATATAACCGGGAGTATCGAGGAGTGAGTCCACGTTGCAGAAAAGGAAGGAAGAGGCTTCCGAGATAGCTCAGCTGACTGCCTCGGCACCCAAACAAACATAACAAATTCGTTTCTGGCATTGGAACATTTGTCATTCAAATTATGCCTAAACGACATTATTCATTTTCAAATTCGCAGCAAACAGGAAGCTATTCTCGAACCCAAATGAAGTCTAAATTCACAAATTGTATTTACTTATGTCTCTAAAAATAAATTTAGATTTTTTTTTGACATCATAAATATATACCACTTAACAAATTTTAAAATACGCAAATTCTAATTTATTTCACTTCACCTTGACATAATATTGAAGTTATAACCAGTTAATTTTGAGTGTTTCCCTAATGAATAAAAATATAATGTTACATACGTACAGAATAGTTCAGTTCGCTTCAAAACAAAATATTTAACCCTTATCAGTTTTCTTCGCCAAAAGAACGTATTTTTTTTTAATTGCTATAAGCCCAGCCGAGTATAGAAACGTTGGAATCGGTCACAATCAATTTAAATACACTCCGGGGACCACTAAAGTTTGCCCGAAAACAAATTGGAAAAATATTCTAAACGCGCGATGCCAAGGCTAACAATCGCACGCTGACGAGCTGTAAAAACTAATCTAATATGCAACTGATGCAAATTGTGGATATTCTCTGGTAATTATAGATGGGAATCGGGATTTTCCCCTAGCATTTCCTTCATTAGGCACCCCGTCATATTAATTCGTTGTCAACAGCTTTGACCCTTCGGCATAGTTGCGGAAAAAATCAGAAAAATTCCATCAAATCCACCAGCAGAGGTCATAAATTAAAATCATTTTCAGCTGGGGAATATGACAGTAGTTGTTCCCCCTTTTCCCCACTCCAGTCCCTAATCCTCGGGGTTTTGGGGCACGTGGGCGTTGTTGCATAAAAACTCACGCAGGTGTTTTTATGTGGTTTTTATGTGCGGTTCCTGGCATTAGGTTTTGGCTTTGCTCTCGGTTTCGTTTTCGTTTTCAGTAAGGACGGGGACACATTTTTAGGGTTGGAGCGTAATGTAATTAGATTGTCAGAGGGAAGTGGGTGTGAGTTGAAGTTAATTTGAGATTTATTTGGGTTGAAATATGTATGACCAGCTTGCGGTGGCTCAAGAAGATTCAGCTTGATTAAATCGTGGTTTATAAATGTAAATGAAAAACATCTGTTCAAAGCAAAATCTTAAATGAATTTAAAAAGGGCACAAAAAATGAAGAACAATTAAATTTTCTTAAATTGGGGTACCCTAATAAATTATAATAAATTCAGGTTTAGAAACTTTTTTTAAATATTTTAGATAGAAATTAAATTTAGTTCATTTAATTTACACAAAAAAATAAAATAAATATCTAAACAGTAGAACATTTTTAAAAATTCGAGTTTTTTTAATTTGTGCTTCCCAATTAAATTATTATAAATTCAGGAAAAAGGTTTGGAAAGGAATAAAATTTAGTAATTTTTATTTACAGGAAAACATAAAATAAATAGCTAAACAAAATAAATATTAAAAACAATACAATGGTATCCCTGACTGTAAATTATTATAAACCTTTACTTAAAACATGTATTAAGCGGAAGCCCCAAATGAAAGACCTTATCACATGCTTCCCCTATCTCCCTTAATTTGCATATTGGTTGAGCAATTAATTAAAAAATTAAAATCGCGGCTGCGCACAATGGAATCAGGAAGACAACGCTGCACAAAAAAGAAAGGGAATTTCTGAAAAAATAAATTGGCTGTGCCCATTTCCCCGCCATCCAGTTCCTGTTTCCCCCCAACCCCGAGCCTTTTTCACATTCTGTGACTTTGCCATTGTCAATACTGGTGGTTGTCGCTGTTGTTCTTTGTTAGAAATGTTGCGCATTGAACTTTTAATTAGCAGACAGAAAGCATAGCAAAAGTCGGGCAATGAGCGCGAAGGGAGAAATGCACATACAATGCGGCAGGTGTTTACAGAGTAAGGGGGAATCACCCTTTCCGACCAAAAAATACAAAGTGAAATACATTTCAATGCACAGATTGCGTGCTTTTGTAAGGGAACTTAAGCGGAAGAGCGGCGTTGATGGGTCTCAACATTTACCTTTCATTGCTTTAGTCATTTAAAATTAATTTCAATTAAATTTCATCCCGCCTTGATCATCAAAAATGTATTCAACAAATGCCAGTCACGTCAATCTTGGGAGGCTGGCAAAACCGGAACAACAAAAAAGCACCGACTATGGGGTTAGTTGAAAATCAAAATTGAGTTTGGCAGCACTATAATTTCAGGAATTTCTTTTACGACTTAAACTCCATATGTTTGGTCCATCGGATAAAGGTGGAGCCCTTCCGGCCGCAGATGAGTTCGTCAATGGCTTGACTTCCGACAACAATCCGATCGAACCAAAGGTGCCCTTTGGATATGGACAGAGGGGAAAGCTGCCCGTTACAATGCACTAACAAAAAAAAACAGAGAGCGGAAAACTCGCTGCTGGCACTTTTCGGCTTCAGCTCCGAGCAGGACGATCTGTTTCGCACCCGGAATCTTCGCGTAAGTTGTTTTGAAACCAGTATTATGTTTAAGAACGATTTAAAGGGAAGCACTTCTAAGTTATGTATATCGTAAGGAGTGAAACCGTATGAAAAAAACATAGAAATTCATATTGAAAGACCAATCTCACCTCCATAAATATATAAAGGTTTTCAAATTAAACAACTATTAAGCTTGAGTGATTTCAGTTGGAAGTCAAAACTGTTTGGCTTTCAATCAACTTGTACACTCCTCTATTGCAAACATTGCTCATATTGCAATACATTTCACAGTCGGACGATAACTTGAGCTTGGCCTTGTCCAGTTGGCTTCGCTACACCTTGAATGATATGTCCATGCGGCAGACATACGTTCCAACCGGGATGGCTCAATACCAACAGCAGCAGCTGCTGCAGAAACACCAGCAACTGCAGAGACACCAGACGATGTCCTTGCCACAGGAGCATCCTTTAATGGCCCAGCAACAGCAGCAATTGCAACGGCAGCAACTTCTACAGCAGCAACTGCAGCAACAGCAACGTCAACAGCAGCAATATTATTTCGCCCAGTTACAGCCACAGATTGGAGCAGTATATAACCCTCGTTCTTGGCTGCCGTATCACAGTCAACAACCATCGAATCCGCAAGGCAACTACCAATATTGGTATGGCAGGCCACAGCCCGTGAATATCCCAAAAGCTGCGCCTCTACATCCAGAACTGATACCTCCATCGTTTTGTCAACACACAAATGGAGCTTATAACCAGGTAATTGCAACTTATTTGAAATATATTAAACCAAAGATCCTCCCAAAAATCCGTTATTTAAAATCAAACTTTTTTGATTTAAATTAATCTGTGCTAAAAACAGCTACATTTTTATTGTTAAAAACTCAATTTAACTTTTCTCCTATCCTTTACTCCTATCTCCGATCCTCCTATCCTCCCAGAAATACAAAAATTAAAAAACAATCTACTTTCATTTCAATTAATTTGTGCTAAAAACAGAACTACATTTTAATTGTTAAAAACTCTCTTCTCACCATTTGGTGCTGATATTAAAAACATTAATTTCAAAAGATCAAATGTTCTTAATTTATGAGCAATGTGCTTGGAATTTTTGTTTCTTTTTAATTTTAAACAATTATTTATTTACGATATATTCTGAAATCTAACAAAATTGTATGTTTGCAATATTTAGTAGCTCGTAGATTAAACTAATTTGCATTCTAGCCCACTGCTGCATCGAAACCTGAGAGTAAGCCCGCAGAAAAGGCAAGAAGTTCCGCCCCCAAGGATCAGGCTCAACCCACCATTTCGCAAGGTCGTCCCATGGCCGGTGGGCGTTCAAACTTTCGCCCACAATCTTCAACAGCCTCTGACAGCCTGAATCGTATCAACAGTCTCACCAGCTTCCAAGATGAAAGCGGATCGCAAATTCGTGACTCTGAGGAAGATATGATCAAGTATCGACGCATTGCTGCAAGAACTTTAAGCCCCGAAATGGATGAATTTAACAGAAGGCAGAAGAGCTTAAAGTTGCAGAAAGATAAACAGCTGCAGGAACAGAAGATCAACACTCATAGAAATTTTCCGGTAAAATCGCCCTAAAAACAAGGAAAATCGCCCTAAAACGGGGGTCAATGGCGACTAGGCAACAAAATTAGGGCAAATTGCCCTAAAAATACGGGTGAATTTGTCACATATTTAGGGCGATTTTTCGTAGATCTAGGGCGATTTTTCTATTTTCAAAGCTAATTGCCCTAAAAATAGGAAATGAGACCCTTACACTAAAGGCAGTTTCCTTTAAATCCAGGGCGATTTTTCTGGACTTATAGGCGAATTGCCCTGGAAATCGGAAAAAATACCTTTAAACTAAAGGCAGATTTTCATAAATCTAGGGTGTTTTTCTGGATTTTAGGGCAAATTGCCCTAGAAATATGAAAAAATATCCTGAAACTAAAGGCAGATTTTTATAAATTTAGGGCGTTTTTCTGGATTTATAGGCGAATTGCTCTAAAAAAAGCAAAGTGCTCCCCAAAATTTCCCGGCTTTTTTTCATAAATAAAAATACGATTTCATTATATTTTTTTTGTTTTTTTTATATTTTTGTTTGTTGTTATTTACACAATTTCTAATTATATACATTTACATACTTTTC